GTCAGCATATTGCCCCCAACAACAATCCGGGTCCTCATTTTACCCACCTCGGAAGGATGGAAGGCTGAGTCAACCTTGACCCTAGTGTGATTTGAACAGCCGAACTGCTGAACTGCAGTCAGCTGAAGTAGCCTGCAGTGCTGCATTTAACCACTGCGCCACCTCGGCTCCACAAAATATTGTGGTTTTGTCCTATTCTGGAAGAGTGATGGTTTATTGCACTTTTCCCAACATTTCCCATGCCTGTGAATGCAGCTTTTGAGAATATGGTGCTTCTGGGGCAGTGTTTCCCAACCTTGGCCATAGCCAGGGATATGGACGTCAACTGCCAGAATTCTTATAAATGGCTATTCTGGCTGCGGAATTTTGGGAGTTGAAGTCCACAAACCCAGAAATGGATAAAGTGGGAAATACTGTTTTAGGGGATAATGGATTTTGAAGATGATGTAACCCAGTCTAAAAGGTGCTTTTATTTTATTAAATTTCTACACTGCCTATCTAACCTGGGTCGTTTACAACATCACTTTCAAATTGGTTTCCAGCTGCCCCCCCCCCTCCCACCCCTGTTAAGAGGATCAAATAGCAGGAGCATTCTCTGCCAGAGACGTTAGTGAAATGTTGTGATCCAAGAGAGACCATTTGAGGCCAAACAGACAAATATCTTAGCCTGGACTAAAAGTACTTTTTATTTGCGTGCTTCCAGCTTTTAAACAACCATGTTTGGAGGCTGTTTACAATAACATTGAATATGAATCTGCAAAATGAAAGCAAGTTTCTAAAATGTATGGTACCTCCTTTCAGAATCCCACTTTTGCTTTTAAATTAAAATGATCCCTTTTAATTAAGCAAACTCACCACCCCCTTAAACAGGGGCTTTGAAATATCCAAATTTGCCCTCCAAGCAAAGAAAAGAGAGTATATCAATAACATTGACGTAAAGAGCCAAATCAGCTGTGACTTCTCTGTCTTCGGTCTAAAGTGGAGGAAAAAATATAATTTGAAGAGTTTATGAAGACAGTTTACACATGCAACAAGAAATTGCAAAATGAATAACGCCTATTACTTACATGATTCTACCTATGACTCAAATTAAAAGCACAGGTGAACAGCAGTGACAGTAACTAGAACAAATAATGAAAAATAAAATCATGCACAGCTGTTCTCCAACTTAGTGCCCTCCAGGTATGTTTATACTACAATTCTAGAACTCCCAACTATGGCAGAGGACTTGAGCTGTGAATGATTGTTTTAAAGAAATAAATGAATACGTTTTTTCTAAAGTTAATTTTCAAAAATAAATAATTGAATATAACAAATATGCTGAATTTCCCAAAATGAAAATTGAGTCTGAACTGAAGAGGATCCCGTACCCCAATCTAAGAACAGATAAATCTACATCTATCTCTCTGCAACCCTAGGCAAACTCGTCCCCATTTTATTAATCTAGGGCAGGGGTGTCAAACTCAATTTCATTGAGGGCCAAGCCAGGGTGGTGTTTGACCTTGCGGGGGCTGGGGAGGCATTGCTGGGGTAGGGTGTAGCTGGGGTTGGTGTGGCCACCTCAACATCACTCGTGTCGGAGCACCTATGGAGGCCCAGGCAGGGCTGGAGGGATCCATTGCAACGTCCTCCTGCAGTGCTCTGCCAGTAAAAACGGAGCTCAGGAGGGCTGCATGCAGGAGGTTGTTGCAGCTGAAAACAGAGCTCAGGAGGGCCGCATATATGTTGGGGGCGCTTGTGGTGTCAGGGGTGTCTGTGGTGGCCAAGGTGGGGCTGGGGGGAGCAATTGCTTCAGCACTCTGCCAGCAAAAATGGAGCTTGGGAGGGCCATATATTTTTGCTGGCGGAGGCCCCGCAGTCCGGTCCTTCGCTGTTTCCAGGGTGGCCCCACAGGCCAGATCTAAGCACCCAGCGGGCTGGATCTGGCCCGTGTGCCTTGAGTCTGATACCCCTGATTTAGGGTTACCAACTCTACATGAAGCCAATCCTGAAGACTTTGTCTTCTATAATAAATGTATGTGACATACTTGTGTGCACACACAAAATGTGTGTGTGTGTGCACAAACATATATACGTGACCCGTCAAAACCGCGTTCCACAAAAGCGCGGTCGACGAAATCGCGTATGTGACGTCATCACAACGCGACGAA